TCTCAACCGTCCATTTCCAGGGCCTTATCCTTAACCTAACCTTAGCCCCCGAACTCCCGCTTCAGACCCCACCTTCATCCTCATCCCCCAGGATCTGCCTGACTGTGCCCTCCTGACCCTAGCTCCTCTCCCCCTGGGGCAAGGCACAGCCTCTGGCCACAAGCCTATCACGGGACATGGGGACCTCAGGGAGCCCCTTCAGCCTGGTCCTGTGTTCCCAGGGATCCCTTCACATGTGGATTGACATCTTCCCCCGAGATGTGCCTGCCCCACCCCCAGTTGACATCAAGCCTCGGCAGCCAATCAGGTGAGAGTTCTGGCCGCGCCTCCCCTGGGGTAGGCACCTTTGGACTGCCAGTACAGGGCCCTCTGAAAATCTGGGCTTCAGTGAAGCAGCCAGAGGCTCCTTAGCCAGCCTTTTCAGTTAGGTGGGCCATTAAGTTCCCTTCCTTTTCATAAGCCATGGCAGTTGGGTGTCTGCCCCCTTACGAGTGGAGCTGGTCTGAGTGGAGTTCTGCATAGGCTCTATGTACTTCAGATGTTGTCAGCAATCTACACTTCCCACCTGGAGGCTCCGCTTCCCTTGGTGTCACTCTCAAGGAAGCTTCTGTGGTGTGAGGGCAAGGTGGCTGCTAACGGTACCGGGCTTACATCTTACCAACAGGACTACTTGAGCAGAAAAACAAACACCTGTTTGCCAGTAAGAGCAGGTCTCAGGGCTGACTCTCATTGGATATCAACCTTTGTGATTAGGGGGCTGTAATCTGCTGATTGGTAGCCCTGGGTGATATCCCAGGTGACGTACCCACCTCTGGAGCCAGGTAGAGGTGGATCTTCCCCACCAGAATCACATGGATTGACAGCATAGAGGTGAGGGTGGGGGTGCTCACCAACAGAAAATCATGGTGCCGTCAGCAGATGAGAAGTTGATGCTGGGCAAGAGAAAACAACAGCTACCCAGGAAAATCCATGGCTACCTGGTTGGATCAGGAAAGCTGCAGCCCCTTCTTCTGCCGCTCAGGGGCTGCATGCTCTCATCCCCGCTAGGTAGCTCTCCCTCTCCCACTTGTTGCTGCAGACTGGCTTTCTCTCCTCTGTGCCCTGAAACTTCAGCTTGCCACGTCACGCTGACTAGTGGTGGCTCCAACTCTGCATTTGATGTTACTCAAGCTTTCATTCTCCTGATTCCAAATTTATGGGAGAAACTTGTTGGCCCAGCTTTGGTCAAGAGACCATTCCCGGTGCCATCTGCTATGGTAGGGGTGGTCAGTGATAGCTGGGACTGCCCCGTATCACAGATGTCCTGACCACACAACTGGGCACATGGAGGTGCTCGAGGAAGGTCATGGCCACAGCCTAGCTGCTTCCTGCAGTAACTCTCAGGAACCCCCTCAGGAACCCCTCAAGAGTCTGAAAACTCTCTTCTGATACTGCCCCCAGCTATGAGCTCAGAGTCATCATCTGGAACACGGAGGATGTGGTTCTGGATGATGTGAACCCACTCACTGGAGAGATGTCAAGTGACATCTACGTGAAAAGGTGAGCCTGCAGGCTAGGCCGGCCAAATGGCTGAGAACCAAGGTGAGACTGCAGTCAGGGACATGGGCTTTGAGCTGAGCCACAGCCCTGTCTCCTGGGGCCTCTATGGCACCTGGAGCTGGTGAAGGGCCCCCCAGGTTGTCAGGGGTTGGTGAGCTGGGTTCTGGGTTTGGCCCTGGTGCTGAGCCCCCCCCCCCCCCCCCCCCCCCCCCCCCCCCCCCCCCCCCCCCCCCCTGGCTCCAGCTGGGTAAAGGGGCTGGAGCACGACAAACAGGAGACAGACGTTCACTTCAACTCTCTGACTGGGGAGGGGAATTTTAACTGGCGCTTCGTGTTCCGCTTTGACTACTTGCCCACGGAACGGGAGGTGAGCGTCCGGCGCCGGCCTGGACCCTTCGCCCTGGAGGAGGCCGAGTTCCGGCAACCGGCCGTGCTTGTCCTGCAGGTCTGGGACTATGACCGCATCTCTGCCAACGACTTCCTTGGTAGGGCTTTGCCTCCTTCCTACCTCAACCTCTAGCCCTACTTTCTGCCCTCATTGCCAGTGCCCCCTGGCCCTTAGTTCCTTACTCTAACCCAATCCTGAGTCCTGGGTTTCAGACCCTAGGTCACTAACCTTTACTTTCTGGCCTTATTACTGAACACAGTAATGACCTTCATTCCCACCCAAAGTCCTTGACTCAGTCTTCTGACTCAGGTCACTTTGGACTCCGACACCATGGTCCCCACTTTGGCAGTCTGGTCGTTTCACCAGGGTCTGACAAACTGCTGATGTGTGGTTGTGCTCGTGTGGCCTGCAGCTGCGGCGGGACCACCACGTCCTAGTTCCTGATGCTGTGAGGCACAGTCCTGCTGTGCTCCCCGCCCCCACCCCAGGCCCAGACAAACCTTGATCTCCTCCCTAACCCGGAGAGCTCTGCACTTGCAGGATCCTTGGAGCTGCAGCTGCCAGACATGGTGCGGGGCGCCCGGGGGCCCGAGCTCTGTTCCGTGCGGCTGGCCCGCGATGGGGCAGGGCCGAGGTGCAACCTGTTTCGCTGCCGCCGCCTGCGGGGCTGGTGGCCCGTAGTGAAGCTATGGGAGGCAGAGGATGAGGAACGGGAGCAGCGGGAGGCACGAGCTGGCAAGAAGAGGCAGAGGAAGAGAAGAAAGGGCCGCCCGGAAGACCTAGCGTTCACAGACGCTGGAGGCAGCGTCCATATCCTTACGGTGGGTGCAGGGGTGCGGCCGGGGCAGGACCTGGGCAGGTGGGGGGATGAGGCCGAGCCTGAGCCCATCTAAGAGCTCGGCCTCTGTTCCCTCCTTTTTCTAGGGGAAGGTGGAGGCAGAGTTTGAGCTGCTGACCGTGGAGGAGGCGGAGAAGCGGCCAGTGGGGAAAGGGCGGAAGGAGCCTGAGCCCTTGGAGAAGCCCAAGTAAGGGGGGGTGGCACAGGAGGCTGGGCCGGAGGGAGGTGGGGTGGCCCAGGGGCTTCTTCTTCATTCTGACACCACCTCTGTCCCCACAGCCGCCCTAAAACCTCCTTCAACTGGTTTGTGAACCCGCTGAAGACCTTTGTTTTCTTCATTTGGCGCCGGTACTGGCGCATCCTGGTGCTACTGCTGCTGCTGGCATTGGTCACCATCTTCCTTCTCCTGGTCTTCTACACCATGCCCGGCCAGATCAGCCAAGTCATCTTCCGCCCCCTCCACCAGCCCCCTGACCCTAATTGACCCTGGACGCTCTTCCCCTACCAACCCCATAATTTCCACTCCTGGGGGTCCTTCTCACCAACACGACTGCTTGAGTTCACTGCTTTCTTTGAATGAACTTGACTGTGCCTCCATTCTGACACCTGAACATGGGCTGTGCATGATAATACAAGGGGCAGGAAACAGAGCTGCCCTTAGGTGGCAGGTGCTGGGGATGGGAGGATGCCACCAGGAAGAATGGGACCTGGCAGGAAGCTCAGGGCCCAGGAGTCCTGGCCTCCAAGCTGTCATGCCTTCTGAGTAGCCCTGCTTCTGACAATGGCAGGATCACTTAGTGACAGCTAAGCACTTCCATACTTCATTAGCTTGTTTATTCTTTAACTCTTGAGAGTAGGCATATTGATTAGGACACTTTTGGTTGAAGTAACAGAAATCCCAACCCTATTGGCTTAAAAAGCGATTTGGGGCGGTGGGGGGGGGGGGCTTGCATAGTTGCAATTCCCAGTGTTTAGCTGGGAGCCTGTCACAGGACTCAAAATAATGTCACTGGGACCAGTTCTCTGCCTCTGAGCTCCAGCTCATTTGCAGATAGGGTTCCCCCTTGAAACTGCAGGATGGCGGCACAAGCCTCGCATCTTCCCACGTTCACACCGAGAAGACACACCCAGACTTTCCTAGTCCTGACGGAGCCTCACCCGGGGTCACTGTGGCCAGGAGGATGGGATGTGCTGATTGAGGGCTCCCCTGAAGCTTAGGGTGGGAAGTCATACCTTCTCCCAAACACACAAGCTGAGAAGGTAGGGAGGTTCCTAGAGGAAATTCGGGATACTATTAACAAGTAGGTTAATACTTGGGTTTCTGGCTGATCAAAAAAACAAGGCTCACTACAGTCAGCAGTATCATGTTTAACTTACAGATGAGACATGTCCAAGGTCATAGAGCTTGCAGGTGAGCACATCAGAGCTGGATCTCAGGTCTGTCTGCCTCTAGAAATTGTGGTATCATCACCCTTTGCTTCCTGTCCTTTCTACTTGTCCCCCTACTATTGTCTTACCCAGACAGTCCCTGAGAATCGATCATATGAACTGACCAGCTGTCAATGTCCCTGCTTTCCTGGGCTGCAGCACGCGGTGAGGTCTTGGGCCTGGTTCTCCACATTTATTGAGGGCTATACTGGGAAGCCCTCATGAGGTCTAGAGCTGGGGTCTGAAGCCAGCCTTGCTCCAGAATGGCTACTGCTGCCTTTCCTCCATTTTTCAGTTCTGCTTCCTGCTAGAAGATGGTACAGGACCTGCCTGGACCCCTCTTAGTGCCAGGAGCCATCAGGGGCATGGCACAGAGCATGGTCAGTGAGGATGAGGGATGCAGGAGACTGAGCCCAGGGTGGCAGGGAGAAGCCTCAGCTTTAGCCATCACTGAAGAGGTGGCAAACCCCAGCCTGCACCCAGGGCCCTAGCACCACTGGGGTCAGACATTCATGAGCCTGAGGACCATGGTGGCCCCATGAAGCTCATCCTAGAAAGGTCCATCTCAGCTCTGGAGCTGAACCCAAAAGGCCCAAAGAGCACAGCAGAGGAGGGACTGAGGACAGGGCAGTGGGGTAGGTATCAGTCTGGTTTGAATAAAGCCCAATTAGCCACGGGATGTCCACGTGGGGCTCCCAGAGGGCTTCTGGCCCGATCTGTCAGTCCTGATTACCTTCAGTAAGTGGCTGTGCAGAGGTTTGTTTCTAGGCTCCAGCCAGATGCAAGAAGCACACGGAGACCAGCAAGTACTATAACAATCCATAGATTTATCAACCTGTGCTGAGACCGATGCTCCAGAGGGTCGGAGGGGTTGGAGGGGAGGCTGCGAAATGACCACAAGGCCAAAGAGAAACGGGAGATGAAGAGAATAGAAAGGGAAGAAGATAGCTACGTTGTCTTCCCAAGATCAATTTTCTTCTGGATGGCTCGAGCCGAGTGGTAGATGAGTGAATCGATGAGTCCAGCCACTGGGGAGAGAGACCAAGGCTGGCACTGGCCCAGTTGGGCCCTTGGCTGGCCCCAGAGCCTTGTCACCTGACTGACTAGGCCAACAAATCCCCTTGACCATCGAGGTGCTCCTCCTTCCCCAACCAAAAATCCGCAGGGAGCCCAGGCTTTACATTCCCCACCATGCCCCAACCCCAAACATGCCCTTGAGCTTCTAACCTGTGAACATGCCTCCAATGATAGCGCACACACCAGTCAGGAAGTGCGTGAAGGACCTGGTGGAGGGACAAGGCAGGGGATCAGCAGGCACCCCTGCTCCCTGCAGGCCCAGGCCTCTCCCTTTCCCCACCCTGACCTGTGCTTCTCCGTCAGTTTCACCATCATGGGCGAGAGCTCATAGAGCACGAAAACTCCAGGAAGTCCCTGGTCACCCATCAGCCCATTGGCGACCTTCTCGTGTCTGGTCACAGAGAACTGATTTGTCCTCAGCACCTGGAACAGGAAGGGAGTTTGGGAAAGGGCTGGCTCTATAACCTGGTTCCCAAAACCCCTCAGCCCTACCCCTGCTCCTGCCCCTTGTCTGTAGTGCCTTGACTGTGGGGAAGAGAAAACGAGGCCCCAGGTCGCTAATGAACACTGGAAGGCCTGGGGACCACCTAGGCATCCCCTCTTGGCCTCACCGGCCCAAGGGCTGCTTGGTTACTAGCTCTTTACAGTTCACCAATCCCAGCTACGTGTGGATTCTCTCAGCGGGGGTTTTGGGATGGGAAGGAACTCTCAAAGGCCGCATCATGAGCTCCTGGCAAGGCTGGGCCAGACTTCCTGTCTGCAAAGGTGTTGCTCCACTGGTGACAGCAGAAAGGGGATCAGGGGACCCTGGAAGGGTTAGCCCCCAGCCCAGGGGAGACCCCAGTGACAATGAGCACCCGAGGAACGGATGGAGGCAGTTTGGACAAGCAGAAAGCGCAAGTGCTTTGAAGTCTGACACTGTGGGCCCTGCACCTTCCCTGCGAGGGTAAATCACCTACCCTCTCTGAGCCTTGGCTTGTCACCAACAGGAACCCTGATACCTGAGCTCCTGCAGACTTACCTCCCCATCTACCTTCATGTACACTGTGGGTACCACCTTCACGAAGTACTGGAACATCATGGAGGCTGAAGGGAGAAGAGAGCACTGGGCATGGGTGCTGGGCAGGGCTCTGGTAGCTAGGGGCTACCTCCCAGGTTGGTACCTTGGGGTGCAGTGACGTTGGTGTGGTCCAGGGGGTTCACAATGCCCGGGTAGTCCTCCCCGAATGACAAGTGTCGGATGTAGTGGGTCATGTTGATCTGCAAGCAACACCAGCACCTAAGCCTCAAGCGCTCAAGGCCCCAACAGGCCTCACCCATCAAAAGTTCCATGGGACAGTGGTGGACAGGGCTGCCTGGGCTTGGGGAGTAGATGTGTGGCGGGACGGGAGGCAGGGCAGGATCTTGCCGGGGAGAATCTGACCAAGACAGGCAGCACCACCATGCCCCACTGGGGAACTCCATTCTCAGAGTCTATGGTCTCTGGGCCTCTACAGTCTGAGACTCTGGCTGCATCCAGACATAAGGCAAGTAAAGACGGGGCATGGACCCACTGTGGCAGATGCCAGATTTGCCTGCAAGTCTTGAGCCAGGGAGGCCTAGGCTGGAGGGGCCCCAGATT